CCTCGCGCTTGCGCTTCTCCGCCATGTTTGGCACAAGATCTGAGCAACGGAAAAGTCGACGAAGTCGAAGTGATCAGAAATGGCTTCGGAGTGCTTCCGACTTCCGACTCATCCCCACAATCCCTAGCAGATAACAGCGAGCATCCGGCTGCATCCGGCTGGGGCCTGGCCTGACCACGCTGCGGCTGAACATCCACCGCCAACTCCGGGAACCTGCGCGGCTCCGCAGCGGCAGTGCTCAAGCGAACCCGGAGCTCGCCTGGTGGACCCGCCCAAGCCCACCGTGTTCAGGTACACCAAGAGCGTGGCGTGGCGTTGATACCCGTCCTTTGACGGCAAGAAGCACAGTTCCACAGTTTTGGGGCAGGGAGAGTCGCCACAGGTGGCCTGTCCTCGCGGGCTTGCTCCCAAGCGAAGGCGTCCTGTGGGGTACAACAGTGGAGCCACCAGGGCACATCGAGTGCTCAGGCTTTACAAGGAACCAAGAAAGCAGGCACACGCCTGATGCAAGTCGAAGCGTTGTCCCCTCTCGTATCGAACTACCTGGATGTTTGATGGAATGAAACTTTCGCATGGAGGTGAGGGCAAGCTAACCACAGCAAGGCCTGCGGATACTCTGCCGTGAAGACTCTGGTATCAGTGCCACCAACACCCAGCACCTTGGCACGACGAGCAAATGTCTTCGTCTTCGTGGGCGGTGGTGGTGTCAGCAGCAGAAGCAGCAGGGGCAGTTACAGTAGCAGCACTAGCAGCAGGGGGAGGAGGAACCTCAACAGCAGTGGCACCCTGTGGTAGTCGTGCTCATCGTCGTAGCAGCTGCATTCATAATCGCGAGTATGGTTCCTATTCGGAGTCCTTCTAGTCGTTGGCTGAGCGACGTGAACACGATGTGAGTGTCAGAACGAAGCTACGTGGCTGCATCTCCGAACTCCAAGTCTCTGACTCCTGTGAGGTCGCGAAACAGCTTCCGGACCTTGCAACATGCAGATTCGACGTTGTCACACTGTTAGTCGCACGCATGCCAGACAAGGCAATCGCGACGGTCATCCGACATCATGCTGCTCTCAAATTCTCTCCCTACCTCTGATGTTCATGAAGTAGCTTTGCAGCATGGCTGGTTGGTGTTCGGGCCAAAGCACTTGTATGCATGAGCATCGCACTCTCTCCTTCCGTCAGCCATTGAGGCTCGGGGAAGCGAAAGGCCTTCGATTTCTGTTTCTTCAGAGTGAGCTCCTATGCATGTAGCGATATTCATTTTTCAGTGTTAATGCACCGTAAGAAGTTGCCTCATATACTCATGGCTTTAGCCACTGTTACAGCACGAAAGTCAGTTCGCCTCACGTTGTGAACCGCTGCCAAAGTCTGCATGACTTGTAATCGCGGTCCAATGCTCATGACTTGGTCACCCTCTTGGTAGTCTCAATCTCTCTCCCTTTAGTGACCACTCCACTTTCTTCACGATGGTATGCGACTCCATTGCCAACGATGCACACGCTCTCTTGCTCGGAAGGAGGACGTCGTGTGCTCTTTTCCCAAGCTTCTAACCGGCGCTCATTGACTTCACGATGTTGCCCCCAATGACGTAGTAAGTCTACGGAGTCATCGATTCCGTGGTTTCGGTAGAGAGAATGACGTCTGATTTCTGACGGGGTTTCGTCTCCAACGATTTCGATGTCCATCGTGCCACTTGTATCTACCTCTTTGGTCTCCTCTTGACGTTGAGATTCCTCCCACATCCAATAACCCTCCATTAACAACTCGATGAGATGCCCAAGAGGGCTTATGGTTTCACCAAGACCCAGTTCCCGTCACAAAGTGAACGTGCTTGGCTCCGGGCCAATGCCTCGGCACCATACCTGCCCGTTCAGTTTCCCACTTGCAGGAAGATGGCTGAGCCTTCTGTGCTGGCTGGTTTGGCTTGTCGTTGCAAGCATGAATGCCAGCTGTTGGGAATGGTGGCGATGGCAATACTGTATTCGTAGCAGTCGTCAGTTGTCTTGATCGACATTGAGGGCAGTCAATAAAACTTCAGTCGTGATTCTGCCGATCCTTCACGTGCAGTCCGACCTGCGGGCAGTCTCAGGCTTCAGGACGACCTGTCGAGAATTGCAGCTTGGGAACGCACCTCTCGTTGCGGTGGACAAGCCGGGCACACACTGCCACTGGTCCTTGCAGCCTTTGCCTGGAGCGGTGCGAGATTGACATCCGTCTTCCGATGTTGCAGCTCTGAACCATTTTTTGAACCTCTTCACTAGTCCAACACTGCCCACGCCTCACCCGGAGCAACGCCATAGCCGCTACAGCTAGACCTTGGTTGCGCTTGACCCAAAACATTCTGCACACATGGGTCATGGGTTGCATTGAAATTGAGGGAACTCACGCTCTGAGGCTGGTCTTCTTGTGCCGAGAGTCTGCCGCATTGCGCCGCCTTACTCTGAGAAGGCGTGATATGACACCTGCCACTAATTTGCTTCATCAGCTTGCATGACGGCGGCCATAGGCACCTGTACCCATAGGTCTTGCAGCCCAGTCACTGCACTTTGCAGTGAAGATGAGCCTTTCACAGGCCTCCGAAGTGCGAGTCGCTGTGCTCAAGACGTGCTTATGATCAGAGTATGCGCTGCTGTTGCTGCTCCAAACCCTTCGTGTGTGCGTGCACATAACACAGAGGCATCACGATGTTCAGTTAGCAGTTGCCGATGTCCCACCCCATCCTGCCTCTGGACTCCAAAGGTTCGGGATGAGAATTACGGCCCTGCGCGACAGTGGACATCGAACACGACAAGGAGCGGCTGTCCCTGCGCACCGTGAGCTCCCGACGGGTCGGCATGCACGATTTGCAGCTGATCCTGATCGAAACAGTGGACACTTTCTGTTCGAGTGGTCTGCATTTGTATGGAGCTCACTTACTCCGGAAACATAGGGAAGTATGGGCAAGAAGACATTCCTAGACTTCCTGCATGGCTGCTGTTGCTTGAGCTTTGATTGGACTGCACCTTTCTCAGGGTCATCGCACCAAATTGTTCTCACTCTGCGTTGGCCTTGATGTCCGGCGACGGGTTCATCGGCATGTGTGTTCGCGCCAACCTTGTGAGAGTCTCATCAAGCGTCCCGTCCTCCAAGCGATCAAAAACAGAAATCTGGAACGAGGCGGTTCGCTGCAGCTGAGTACGTAGTTGCCTTGACGGGCAGGGCAGACAGCGCTAGAGCAAAAACTCCCTCGCTCCTGTCGGATAGATGTGGACTGGCCCCGTCTGCCGGAGATTTGGCCTTGTTGCCACCACGCCTCCGATCAACGGCCGTGCAAGAAGAACTCTGTCCGGCGACTGAGCTTTCTGTGCACCGAGCCTTCCGGCAAGTACGGAGGCCTCGAAGGCAGAAGTTTGTGGTTCCTGTCAGACAGCGCGGGCAGAGAAGTATATGACTGGCTACGTCGAAGTTGTCTTTCTCCGAAAGCTCACAGCTCGGACCGAGTGAAAGAGCGTGCAGATCGAAGCATAGCCAGCACATGGCTCAGCGGAAGAGCAGTCGCTCGTGGCTCCTTTGTCCGCATACTTGGACAGGTGTCAGCTGTCACTATGCTCTCTCTGTGTAAACACACGGGGGGTCAGAGACAGTGACAGACACATATTATCCGGAGAGAGAGTCTTGAGAGAGCTACATTTTCATACAAATAAATACATAGTCTACAAAATAAATATATATATATATACATATATATATATATACATACACATGCATGCACGCATAATTACGTACATCTCTTGTGTGTGCGTGTTCTTCGTTCAGACAAGACCGCATAGGCTAAGTTAGAAGAGGATGCAGACCCCGAACTCGCACTGCACAGCGGTTTTCCGAAAGGCCTCACACTAGCCCCAACAAGCCCGCTAGTAAAACCAGGTGAGGCCATACTCACGAGGAACAGGCTGCACGAAATCCGGATTCTCACGCGACTTTCATTCAACATGCATTACCACTGCTTGCAATTGAGCCACACAGTCATTTGCGCCATAGGTGAGGACCTGCGATTGGAATCAATCGGAGCGCGAGTCTGCACCAGTGACGACTCGACGACATTACATTAAAGGACGATTGGAGAACTGACGTCGGCGAGTGCGAAACGACTTTCCTGGCTATGTTATGCTTACGAGACGAGAACTTCAGCATCTGGCACCAATGTGTCGTTCTCGATGAAGATGCCGCCCACGAACTGGATCACCTCGCAAAAGCCTTCATGCCTGAGGCATTTCACTGACGCGGCGTTTCGAGTCATGTGGCCACGACTTGGCAAACGCGGAAGTCTGCAGACTTTGGGCCCCGGCCCTGACAAGGAAGACTCGATGCATAGAAGACGGCTGACCTTGAAGGAATGCTTGCAACATCGCTATTACCGTGTCGGGCATCGGCTAGAATCAGCTGGAGGTTTGTGTGCGTGTGTGGGTGTGTGTGTGTGTGCGAGTGTGTGTGTGTGTGTCAAACCCGCATGCCCAATTATGTCTTCGGGATTTGCAGGGGGCAGAGGCACCCAGACATCTGCTAACGACATTAACAGAGCTAATTAGTATGAGGTGAAGATATCACTGATGATCGGCTGCCCAAATTGCCCCCAATCCGTTTTTGGCTCGCAGTGCCCGAAAAGATGCAAACTGAAGACCAAGGCTTTTGAGGCAGGTCCCGGGACGGGCCGGGTCCTAATTCTGAAAAACTATCCAGATATTTTTGGGGTCCTTATAATCCCCCATTTTCGGAAACCTCGGATACGCAGACCAATGGGAAGCAAGGGCTGATCACCCTTGCGTACCTGCAAGAGAAGGCCAGCTCAACGTACCCCAAAAGCATGCTATTGGTTCCATAGTGGCGGAAGTGATGAAGATTTCCGGAGTGTCTGAGCCAAAGATCTGAGCTGAGTGCAAGTCGGATATGAACGAACAAAAATACAAAGAAGGGATGAGAAGATGACTATGATTTCAATCATACCGCATGGGTCCATCCAAGTGTGTGTGTGTGTGTTCATTCTTGTGTTGTGGTTTGAGAGGCGCGTGCTCTGGGCCACCAGGCTCGCGAGATGGTAAACGGATTCGATGCAGACGGATCGTCGGGAACGTCGAGGGTGAAGAAGAAGTGGGTGTAAAGCAAGTTGCCAGCTTGCACCTCAGATGCCACGGCAGCCCCACATGCTCAGCGAGTGATCAGCCACTCCAGCAGTCTGCCACCGGGGTCTCGCAGGCGAAGTACAACCGAGGCTTATTGTGCAGTGCATCCCATGAGACAGACCGGAAGACACCGGAAGGAGGCCGTGCAGCCTGGCGTGTCGAGTAGGATTGGCCTCTTGGCACAGATACTGCAGGCCAAAGCGTGCGAAAGCCACCGCCAACAAGCGGTGGCAGTGCGGAGGCGCAAGCCATGGAACACCTTTACGCCGCGGCAAGCCAAGAGCACAAAGGAAAGGCAACACTGAGCAAAAGAAATGATTGAAGAATAATAAAGGGCAGATAAATGACAGGACCAAAGGTTCGACCGTAAAAACGAAATAAATGAAGAAAGGAAGAGGACCCGAAGGAAAGGGAGAGTCTGAGAAGGCAAGCGAAAAAGGAGCCGTTCAGGAACATACGCACGACAAAGGATTGTGAGAAAAACAGACTGGGCACAAGAATGCAAGAAATACCAAGCAAAGATAGAATGGGCTAAATCAGTGGGTGAAAAGGGGGCCACGTTGTGACGACGACGACCGCAAAAGTACTGCACTGATGGCATTCACGGAGCAGTTTTCTTCTCGTTCGCGCTCGATGCAGCCGTGCGCCCAAAACGAAACTTCACATGAGGAAGAAACGGGAGTACAAGTTCAGTACAAGGTCACGCGCCGAGCATAGATCCTCCAAGCGTCCAGGCCACCGTAATGCTCAGAAACACGGGTGGGTGATTGTAATGAAACCGAATGGCACCTGAAAGATTGGGGTTATGAAACAGACTACTGGCATTCTTCAGGGTGTCGGCTGATCCGACACTCCAACACTTAAGGCCACATCAGTCCTGAATTCGGGACATGATCTGAGCTTTTCCGAGCAACCCGAGCCAGTCCCAGGAGACCGCTGCCGAGCGTTGGCGGCAAGGCCACAAGAGCTGGTCCTCCATGCCTAAGCACAGCACGAGCGTGCTACGAGCGTGCTACTTGTAGCTGTCTTGCGGAGGATACTGACTACCAGGACGAGGATATCTACTGCCATGGCCACTCTTTCTGCTCTTGCTACCACGATTGCTACTGCGGCTGCTGCTGCTACGACTGCAACTCAACACGACCACGGCGACGACCATAACCACCATACTACATACTGCCAAGGGGCCTAGTCACCTAGTCCATACTACGTCGTCGTTTAATAACAAGAACAGCAAGCAGCAGCAGCGGCACCACCACCACCAACAACAACAGCAAAAGCAGCAGCAGCAGCAGCAGCAGCAGCAGAAGCAGCAGCAGCAGCAATAGCAACAGCAACTCAGCAACAACAAGAACAAGAACCACAAGAACAACAAGCACCACCACCACCACCACCACCACCACCACCACCACCACAACCACAAGAGCAATAACAATAACAACAAAAGCAAAAACAAGAACAACAGCAACAGCAACAGCAACAGCGACAGCGACAGCGACAGCGACAGCGACAGCGACAGCGACAGCGACAGCGACAGCGACAGCGACAGCAACAGCAACAGCAACAGCAACCGCAGCAGCAACAACAACAGCTAAAGACTACAACTACAACTGCTGGTTCTACGACGACGACCACGCCTGCTGCGTTGTGCATGATGGCGGCTGCATGCTGCTACTGTCTCTACTGCTGATGCTGCTCTCGCTGCGGTGTACTCTTGTCACAATCTTCGGAAAACCCAGGTCGATGAGTTGATGTCAAGATCACTAGGTGGCACAAATGCTCGAGGATTTCGCAGAAGCGAGGATGCAAACAGGCCATACTCATCTCAACATCCGAAAAAAACTAAATGTAAATGCACAATCTTCCCAGCATGCTCCAACCCCTCTACGTAATCGCTATCTACAAAAGGTGCGACAGTGTCCTGAAATTTATATGCAGTTGCCCACGAAACTCATCACGTTCGGCATTGTGAAGAGCCACAAGCGCTGGCGTCTTTGCCTCGTCATCTCACACGTGGTCGGCTTTGTTGCCAAATCGTGGCCGGCACACCTGATCTGAGCGTCCGACTAGGCTTATCTCCACGCAGCGCCCCGTCGTGATGTCCACACGCATCACGCGCAAAGGCTCCTCGCATCATGTGCTTCAGTCCTTTCTGATGCGTGTGGGGCCCAATCCTTCGTTTGGACACCTGCTTCTCTTCCACTCTGTTTGTCTGCGGGCGTCTCTTAAGTGTGCTTTGTTGAATCTTGTAGGCCTGCCGCTCTCGCCTCTCGCAGCCTGTGCGGTAGAAAGACAGGTTCCTTCCCCAACTGACTCTCGACTGAGCAAATCCGAAATACACAGCATACTCAGTCACACGGAGTGGGAAACCCAACGCAACAAAACAGAGCCAGGCGGCGACTGTAAAGACCAAGAAGAGCTGGTCTCCAACAACGAAGGGCATCCAGTTCTTCTGGTGCACGCTTCCTCGGATTGTTTGAAGCGAAGGCCTCGGGATCTGCACAGGCCCCCCGCCGGTACTGCGGGTCAAAGAGTCCTAGCCGGTCTTGTGCCAGCATCTTCTCTGACAGCTGATCCGCGAAGTCCTGCGAGCACAGCATGCCCCTTTGAAGGGGCGGGACGCTATCTGCAACCACGGTACACATCAACCCCTCGCTGTGGTCATGTAGGTACATGTGCGAGATACACGTGCGATTGTAAAGCAGTCGACAGCTTCATGAATAAAATCAAGCCCAGGGTCGAAGGTCAGCAGCACCTTCTGCAGGCACTCTACCTCCGAACAGTGCTGAAACCGATCCGCCTACGACTCGAGGACAAACTGAGTATCTAATGTTGGGCACGCGGGAGCTGCCGCGCCTTTAACTCCTTGAGGGTGCTCGATGCCTCATCAGGCATCTCCAGAGGGCACAGGTATTGTCGATGCTGGCAAGGGTAATCCTCCCGAGCATGGAAGTCAGGACATTTTCACGCTGCCTTGCAGTGAACATCATGTCTCATAGTCATAGTCTCTCAGTTGTTCAGCCATGCCTGAGAAGCTGGCGCCACACCAGCAAAAAGCACGAACGGCTTGCCGCGCAGGGAAAACAAGCGTCCGTCATCGATGCCGACACGGCGCATGCCTGCAAACAGAAAGCTGACTTAAAGATCTTCCTTAGAATTCATTCGTGCAGCCGCGCCTGTTGAATGCGTGCAGGAATGCTCCTGGAACTTCTGCATCCCGATTTCGTGCCTTGACTGCCCCACGTCTCTAGAGCTGACACGCCAACCCCGGCGCTTGACTGGAGAGATCGGCCCAATGGGAGGCCGTCTGACGAATCTCTGAAATGTTTCTGTTCTGCTCGCGTCAGCTTCTGCATCCCGCCCTTTGCTCCAAGCTGCACCGGCACAAGTGGCGAAAAGTCACGACGCGTGATGGCCTGAGCCACGGCCATCGTCGGACAGTGTAACTATCCAAAACACAAGGACCACTTGAGGTCAGCGCAGCCATGACACGGCTTGTGGCCTGTCCCGAAATGCAACGCTTGAACATAAGTCATAGCCGCTGCCTAGCCTGCACATCCTGCAAGCTCTGGAAACTACCAGTACAGACTACAGTGTATGCCCTTCCTGAACAAAAAATCGACGAGGGAAGCCTGATTCCGACCTTCGACTCTCGGCAAAGACGCCACCGGCGAACCTCAAGGCAGACAACAGCAATTGGTACAAGCGCGCATTGCTATCTCTGAGATCGAGGGATTTCGTGAGTCGGCACACCCACAGGTAAGGGACAGCGCCCAAATCCCAGTGGCATCTGACGGGCTAGCCTCGATTCAATCGGTTTCTCCTGAGGCGAGGTGCCTCGCCCATCCCAGGTGCAAAGGTTCCAGGTCCCGGCCCTGACAAAAACCGTGCTCTGATGCTTCGACAGCTCGAAGAAAAGCCCGTCTGCACTGCTGCACCAAGGACGACATGTTGAAGCTCGTAGCCTGTACGTCACGAGGAAAACATCCTCACCGCGCCAGCCTGGGCATCTTGGCACCAGGGCACTCTCGAGTTCACATCCAAAACATGATTTCTGGCAATTGTCGAGCGTTCTTGCACATGGGCAACGGTGCCGTGGCTCATGCACATGGTGTCCAGCTCTTCGATAAAACGAAACAGAGTGTGCGCTGTCGCTCTGTAGCGCTACACTTGCTACATGCAGCCAGAAAGCGCAGGGGCAGCAGCGATGGATTGTAAAGCGCCCATGCTTTCTTCTTCGGGGGTCGATGCAGAAGCCTCGACGACACGTTCAGGACCTGGTCGTACCAACGGCACAAGCCAGAAAAACACAACTGCTGTTTGCTCTCCAAGTCTCCTCCACCGCCGCACCATGAATCAACAGCTCACCGAGTCTGGCCTTAGCTCGAAGCTGCGCAGAACCAACGCTGCAGTCGCAGCCCACAAGCAGAAACGACAGGCAGAATGCGCGCAATGCATCTGCAGCTAAAGCTTTGCGCTTGCCAGCGCCCCGCACGTGGGGACTGGGGCAACAGCTTGCACGCACTGGCTCTGCAAGACGTAGCTTCATGCAAGATATCTGCGAATCTCATCGACCCATCCTGGCATTTCAAGAGTATCCTCCGATGTTGACATGGTACGGCTTTCTCAAACGAGGATTCCAACGTCAAGGATTCTCAATGATGCGGAGACGAGAGTTTGCCTTGGTTCTTGGTCCCAGCCGGCGGCTCTTCGACATTGGTTTCTTTGCCGGCCAATACGAGTGCTTATACTGTTCGCCTGTGTGCTCCCACGAGCTTGCAAAATCTTGCGCAGACATAGTCTACATAGGCTTTCCATCTTACCAAGATGGGAAAACGGGAAAGCCAAAATGAAAGCACAGATGATAGCCTCGAGCAGCACATGCCGGAAGCGTGACACCTGTCGGGCTTCTCAATATCCGCTATTCAGCCCCTCGATACTTCTGTGGTTGATTGTGAATTTCATGGCTGTTCGTTGCACATCTCATCCCGGTTTCGGGCAATTGACCTTTATTTTGAAAACCCGGGGTTCCTCCGCGCGTACGTGCGTGCGTGCGCGTGTGCATGCAGTTGCTGAGGGTTGTGGCCGTTATATGAGGGCCACTTCTGGCAGCTTCTGGCGGCCCATGACCCCGCATCCACTGGCAATGCTGGCCTCGCTTGCTTGCTGAACTGTGGAAGGCTAAGTCCCAGTCCTGAGAAACTTATCTAGAAAGAACTGAGAGGAAGACGTCTTGGCGCCTGATCGTGGTCGTGGATTCGGCTTCTGCCAAAATGCTGCTTCCGATGTGTGGAGCGCAGGCACCCCCCCCCCCCCCCCCCCCCC